TGGGTGGAGGGGATGGCCACCAGGAGGCTTCTGGGCTGCCTGGGCAATCTGCTACAGCAGACTGTGGAGGTGGTGGGTGGTTCTGCAAGCGGGGCATAGTGGGGGCAGTGTGGGGGGATGGGGCAGGGGTGGAGCGGGCGGGGCTGTTTTTGGGCACTCGGTCTCTAAAATGTTCACCATCACTGGACTAGGATATCAGGAGTGAGATTATTATACCGGTATGCTCAGAAATGGAAAGACTCAGCATTACGCACAATAGAGGAATGGTTGGTGAAGATGCTGGAATTTGCAGAGATGGTGAAACTGACTTCTTTGATTACAGAAAAGACAACATCTATGTTTATTGCTGACTGGAAACCCCTTATGGAATTTCCATGAAACAGAAAAAAATAATCCTATGATTTATGGTTTTGATTATTTAAAAAAAGGTCACTTTTCTTTTTGTAACCATGAAGTAAAAGGTAATTTTTGTACTTATATTTGCTGTAAAGAAAATCAGAAATTATTTCTTTTCATTTTTTTATTTCTTTTTTTCTGCATTTTTGTCTTTTTCTTTTTGCCTTCCTTTGTCCCTTTTTCTCTACTTTATATTAATTCGGGTTAGCTTTTATCTTCTATTCAAAACCCAGACAGAGATACAGACACAGACAGACACAGAGAAATGGCTTAAACTTATTTTTAGCCACATAAGGCAGCCCAGTGCAAGTTTCAATGTGGTCCATGTCACTGAGCTCTTTTTTACTCAAAGCATTCTGTGAAATTTAATCTTAATAATAATATCATGAGGGTATAACTCAGTGGTGGGATTCAAATATGTGAACAACCAGTTCTCTGTGTGGATGCTGCTTCCAAAAGTCCATTCTGGGCCTGCGCAACAAAAAATTAGCTGCCGGTTCTGCCGAACTGATGCAAACTGGCTGAATCCCACCACTGGCCTAACTGAAGGACTGATTGTGCTCACTCTCTAAAATAAGAATTTTCCAACATTTTTTGAGATTAGGACTGCAATTAAAGAAATCAGCATGGTGTTTTCAGGGAACTATTTGTGATCTATCAAAAAAATAAATAGAATTCATGGCAAAGACATTCCTAGTAGCAGTGGTGGTGATGGTATTCTGCATCAACAATGCAAATCTGATTGGTATTTCATGAAGTTAGGTATCAATGCTCCTGCCCAGATGAAATGGAATCAAGTCGCAATGCATATTTATATTGGTTTGTACCAATTTAAGTTGGTAAGAGATTAAGAACTCTCTGTTAATAACAACTGAACAAGGTATTTGAAGTGAGAGCTGCCAATTATCTGAAAAAAACTGTAGAGGGAGTCCTGAGAAAGTGTAGTATCTCAGAATTCTCTCCTGCAGTTTTCATTTACACTCAAGGAAAGAAAGATATAGGGGAAGACAGGAAAATGGTGACCTAACTTAACCTGGAAGTTGAATGCTGTATGTTAATCTAACTATGATGTGGTTAGCAATTCATCCCAAGACTCTATTTCCCAGAGTTCTTTGTGGAGAGGTTATCCTATTAATCCCGTTTGAGTCTGGACTGTATAAACCTTAAATATTGATAGGTACCTCATGAGAATTAGGTCAATGGCTTTGGTTGAAAGCAAGTGAAGAGAGTCAGGGTCAGTGGTGGGATTCAGCCAGTTCGCACCACTTCGGCAGAACCAGTAGCTAATTCTTTGTTGCCCAAGCCCAGAATGGACTTCCGGAGGCAGCATCCACATAGAAAACCGATTGTTCACATATTTGAATCTCACCATTGGTCAGGGTAGATGCAGATTTATCTGGCAGCAATATGGTCTCAAAGCTCAATGGGGGTTTTCCAGCTGAGACATTTGCAGGGTGCTTTGGACTTGCAAGGTACAGAAAAGCTCTTTTTATAATGAGTATTTTAAAATATTACTGGAAGTGCTAATTAAAGAATAATTGCTTTTCTAATTTTATATAGTCTAAACTTTGAAAATCCAAATATAAGATTCAGTGATGAAACCATGTGTGTGTGTGTGTGTGTGTGTATGCCAAATCATAATATTTAGATATTCAAAGTTAATGATATATCTATTTATCTTTCCATTTTTCCCATCTGTCCTTTCATCTCAATTTTGTAGGGTGTCACTTGAACATACTCTATTTCAATCTCACAAGCTATGACAGATTGACAGATTGTAGCTTGGCTCATCATAAATATGTGGGAAAGGTATTTGATGAGCAGGCCAAAGACTCAGATTTGATGGATATTTTGTGTTGGTGTTAAAGTTTTATATTTCTTTAAGATGCTTTTTTATTTTTTACTCAGGTCTAAGGCAAGTTCTGCATCTATCTATCTATCTATCTATCTATCTATCTATCTATCTATCTATCTATCTATCTATCTATCCTGGAGGGCTGACTGTTGTTCAGGTATTTCTCAGCAGAAATCCATGTAGTAATGGAAATGTCTGTAATGATCTCTGAACTATTAGGGAAGGATCCAAGTTGCCAGGAAAAGGTCAGTATTGCTTAGGTAAAAGTAATGAAAAACTGGTTATCAAGGAATGTGTGCAGTGAAGCCCTGTTAAATAAATCATCTTTTAATTCAACCTTTGTTCATTCAAAGTGCAACTGTGCTTACCTTTAGCAGTTCAGAACATGACATACCAGAGATCATTCTGAGGACTGTGCACTATATATGCAGGTAAGATTCTTGTTGCCTTTTTTTTTCAAATCTGAGGGGAAAGGACAGGAAGAGAAAGGAAGTGGAAAGTACTCTTTTTCCTCAAAATATTAAATATAGTCTTGGAAAAAGTTAAATTATTGTCAGTAATTACTAAATATGCTTTTAATGTATGAATATTGGAAAGATGGGTGATGCTTGTTGGTTCTCATATTCATATCTGGAAGACCATTGAGAATATCTATGTACAGAATAGGATTATATCTCTCTGCACAGAGGTCTTTCATGTGTCATATATTCATTCTTTTTTATTTGCCTTTATAAATCCAAGGAAGCATAATTATGAATCTCCCCTCGTTTTATAATCATAACAGCAAACTTGTTACAGAGCTAGAAAAAACTGATAATGATTGTCTAAAACTCACCAGTGAGATAATAATGAATATATTTAGAGGGTAGGTCTTTAGAAGAAATTCTACTCCTTCCTGTATGTATATTCAGCATAATTCAGCATATATTCAGGGTTTGATAGAAAAATCTCCCAAGGAATCTAGGGATCTTTTAGGAGGCTAGGATGAGTGGACAGGGCTTTATAAAGGAGTCAATTTATTTTATTTAACAATCTTTCAAGGGGACCAAAAGCATCAGCTATCTTAGTCATTGTTCAAATGGAAAGAACAATAGCGAATGCCACCTAGTCAATTCAGTTCAATTTATTTATGGCGAAAATCATTAGATAAAACAGCTCAACAAGCAAAGCGTTCTAATTCTTAATAGTCTGATATTCTGATTCTTGTTAATCTTATCTCTTGACCTAAGAAAAATCTTCCACTTATTAACCATAATTCTTGATATATTAACTAAGTCAACAAGATTATCCTGCATCCTGAGCAAAGGAAGAGTGAGCAAAGTACATATTATTGCAAAACACTAAATTAGCAATATGATTACTAAATAGATTTTTAGACAAGAACAGCATAGACAAATATTGTCAGCAACACATTAAACTTTCTATTGCCCTTGAAAGGTGCTGTAGTTGATTTTTCACTTCACACTGTACTTTTAAGAGAATCACTCTGGTTTTGCCTTGACCTCAGATAAATAATAACAATAATAAAAACCATTGTTCCACTCAGTTCTCTGCAGGTTTTGGATATTCACACAGCTATCTTAGGTGAAGTTGAAGAAATCCTGAGATATCAAGTTAGTCATATGCTTTGCTCTCCAGAAGTCTTGAATAACAATAAAAGAACTAATGGGATGTATAATAAATTATGCCTTCATGCTTTCTACAGACTGAAAATTGTTGACTTAGAAACTAAGGATTATAATTTCAACCTACTTGGGAAAGACTCTACTTCAGTATTTCTCAGTTCAATTCACTGAATAATATCTATGTAGCTCATCTTGCTAAGAATGCTATCTTCATCTTACTAAGCATCCCATTGATTTTTTCAACCCCTTACCTAAGTGTAGAGTTAAGACAGGCACTGAATTGGTTATGTATATTTTCATTGTAAAGTTTCCTTTGAGCCAAATTTGATTCTTAGTAATTTCATGGACAAACTTCATAGCTTTCTCTGCAACAATATAGCAATTATTTTCCACTGCATCTGCTCTGGATTGTTGGCAGCACAATGAAACAACAGCCAAAGACTTAATAGCCGGCCATTGGGGTTCCATCAACATCCCAATCAACAACTAAAAAGCCACACACAACCAGCACCATATAAATACCAAACACAGAATAGCCCAAAGCACACACTCTGCTAGAAAGAAGTTCTCTAAGGATGGGCTCCAGCACGAGCCAGAAAGCTCAAAAGACTAACCCTCTCCTCCCGTTGACTGACCCAGATTGTTTTCCAGTTTCCTTTTCCATCTCCCAGTCTGGCTTATAATGCTGGCATTTCCAGTTTGTTTTTCTTTCAACTGCTAATCAAGTCCAACCCAGTTTAGCTTCATGAGAGCAGCCACTGTACAGTATTGTGCAATACAGTACAGATATAATTTAGAAGAAGGTATGTGCCAGCCATTATGAAAGTGTTAGCTTAGCCCAGAAAGAGATGAAGATATGAGAAAGAAATTCAAGATTGCTCAATTTTCTTCTAAGAAAATATCTGTAATATGTTATGATAAATTCATTATATGAGATGACCCTATCAGCAGTATTCAGTACATTTTTCCCATATCAAAATGCTTTCTTTTCCCCCTCTCATTCCCTTTTATGAGTAGCTCACTTGATTCATTTTATTTGAGCAATTTCCTTCAATAAAGTCTTTCTTTCTTCACATGCATGTTCTGGCAGATTTTTTTTTTCTTTACTTCTTTTGACAGAAATGATGTCACTTCATCCCAGAGAATGCACACTGGCCAGAGAAGATGGTGAAAACTATGGATTCTGCCTACGCATTGAGAAATTCAAAACAGGGCATCTTATCCGAAATGTAGAAAAGGATAGTCCAGCTGAGAAGGCAGGACTAAAAGATGGAGACAGAATCCTGAAGATTAATGGAGTGTTTATAGATAAGGAAGATCATGGAGAGGTAGGAGATATTTTAATTTGTTTGTTTTTTCCTAATGAAAAGCACATTCTTTCACACACCTCATCAACCAATTTGATCCTTGTATGCATTTATTCAAAATATCTTCTTCTTCCAAAGATGAATACTTCCAAAATCTTCCGCCAGCACCCAAACCATGCAATGCCAAAAGAAAAAAAAACTCTGCAAAGAAAGAAAATCTTTCCTTCTTTCAGATACTTGTTTTCATTCTCCATATGAGCAAAAGAATTCAGTTTATCTTTCCCTTAACCTTTCCACCCAGTCAGTAATGATAGGGGAACTTAAATGACAACCGACTTCTAAGCACTTTGAAGAGACTTATGGCTGATTTAATGGAGTTTCATGGAGTTTTCATCCTTGCACAATAGAAAAGATGAAAAGGTGATAAAGTCCCGAGAGCCACCACTTGAGAGCATTTACAGTGTCCTGTAATAGTTGATCTTAGCTAACCCAGCTAAGTTCAACTTTTATAGTTTCTACAACTTCAGGTATGAAATCACTACTCAAGCTTCTGTCACATAAGTGTAATTTTCAAGAGAATAAATCATACTGGTGGTATTATAAAACAGTGGTTGCTATTTTCAACAAATTCTCAGGATCATAATTTTCTCTCTCCCTTTTAGCAATCAATTTTATGAAAATTCTGCTTTTTAATTATTCTCCTATCTGCCATAGGCTTCAAGGTAAGGTAAATGTGCAAATAACCCCAAGATGTATGCGCATAAAAAAGAGGTGGGATTTTGATTGCATTGTCACAACAGCTATTCTGACTTTTTAATCCTCTCTGTAAAAAAAAAACAGCTGAATAACACGGCTCTGTGATCTAGCTCTCCTCCCTCAGGTGTTTTTCCTAATTCACATTCTGTGCCATTTTGCTATTTCTTTTAGTTACCTCTTAGTCTCTCATTGCATCAATTATAGGTGGCTGATTTAATTAGAAAAAGTGTCACTCGTGTATTATTCCTTATTTTGGATGACCATTCTTATGAAAGTGCATTAAAAGAAGGAATCAGTCTTGAAGAGTTGGCTGAAAAGTCACCAAACCAAGAACAGACAGAAGATCTCCAACTTGTGCAATCTGAAGAATCGGGTACAGCTCCACAACCCCATCTCTGTTATCTAATTAAGGAAAAAAATAGCTATGGTTTCTCTTTGAAGTCTTCTACAGGTAAGGACAATAAATAAATAAATAAAACTGACATGTAAACTTCTTGTGCAAAAACCATTTTAGATACATTCTATAACCAGTGACATAATTTTGAGTGTGTATTTAAAGCCAAATTCCTAAACCATCTATTAAAGGACATTATTAGGATGATCAATTGTTATGCTAATTAAAGCAAGTCCTTGAATGAATCTGAAGTTCTCCTAAAAAGAAATTACAAGCCAAAGCATCTATAAGTGCCAGGTTTATGGACATATTAGACCATATTTGTATGTATTACTCACATATACATGTAAAATATTTGAATGCTTTTTTATTCAATCTTCGGGTGTTCTTCCACTGAAAAGAATTGTGGTTTTTAGAGATACAAGGCAGATGAAGTCTGGTATGGCCATCTCAGTCATTCTGGCTATTAATTCTGGGAACTGCAGTCACAATCATGTGGAAGTGACAGGTTGCAGAATTCTGTTGGCAACCCATGCCCTATTGAGTCATTTTTTCAGAGATACTTCCTTACTTAAACAAAGAAACAGAATTACCATAGGTGGCCAAAAAAGCAGCAGGAATGGGAGCAACTTTCAACTTACTTACTTCCCTCCCTTTCTCATTCACTCCTCCTTTCTTCCCTTCCCATTCTTTCCTTCCTTCCTTCCTCCCTCCCCTTGCCTTTCTACCAGGCAGGTAAGTGAAAACTGCTAGGTGGGGAAGGAACAAGGGATTGCAAGACTGACTAAGAAACTGTCACAGAATGTTGAAAATGAAGATCAGGTGACTTGTAGTAGCAGCTAGCAATCACAATTTACCCAAATTTCATTACCTCGGGAGAATGAGTTCCAGATTTTGGACACATCCTGTGAATTAGTCCATTTGGGTAACTTGGTTCAAACATTGTTGCCCTATGGTGCATCATTTCAACCAATTAATTTTTAGTAGTTTTTAGATACTAATTGTCCCCATTATAAGTTTAGAATTCCTCACATTAGTGATTATTTTGTTGCTATGCCATCAACGTTCAAATCATAAGGAACAGGAAAATGATTTTTTCTTCAAGACAGTTGGGAGTCAGTCATCACAAGAGCAATGCAAACTCTAAAAATTTTGATTGGGTTTTGTCATTTATATAAATAGGCTGCTTTAGACCATCCACAGCCTACGTTGCCATGGTCTTCTGATATAGGAACCCAGACTTTGTTATATTGTTAGACCTCTATAAGGAAGTCATATTATGACAATGTGGATGAAAGAAGTGAACAGAATGCTGCATTATTACCTGATTCTTTACATCTACAGTTGAGAATATAAATAAGATATCTCTTCAGGTAGTTTTATAATGTTGCGTGCCAGAAGTAGCTAGTGTATTTTGAAAAAGAGAGAGAGAGAGAGATTTGGTACTTAAAAGTAGGTGAAAAATAATAAATCAAGTTTTAATGAACACTGGAAAAAGCAGTAGTAGTTAATAAATAATTTATTCCTCCTAATCAGTCACTTATACCGCTATAATTGCAGCCCCACCCACCCCCAAAGCATCTGACAAAGCATAAACTAATACTGGGTTACAGCATAATAAATGCTTTTCAATTTTGGAGGCATTGAAAGGGCATAAATGTTATTGTCACATTTCTGGTGCCACATCAGTGTTGTTTGAACTAGACTGGATATACTGCTACCCATGCTGTGTTCACTGTGAGCAAAGTGAACATATTAACAAGTAAAGAATTATTTCTGTTTCTCCCATTTGCTTCTCATTTCCAGGACAGAAAGGTTTGTTCATTGTAGATTTGACCCCACAGGGTCCAGCTGTGAAAGCTGGAGTGCAGCCAAATGATCGCCTTATAGAAATCAACGGAGAGAATATGGAGAACAATACACACGAAGAAGTAGTTGAGAAGGTACTTTAAGCCTTAACCTCATTTGTCACCCAATTCTTGTAGATTATTCAGATCAAGTTATAATGGTAATTTGATGGAATATAGGTAATTATTACCCCAGTTGCATCTTGCCACAGCATGCGCAAGTAGATCGCCCTAGACAAAGACTGGCATGCACAGATGGAAAATAAAGTTGCACACAATACATGGAAAAAATGTGTTTGAATTAACTCTTTCATATTAAGCAAGGTGAATTACACAGTCCCTAAAATTAAGTACAACCACCTCCTAGTAGTGTCCCATCCTTCCAAATTGAATCAAGTCATATCCATCCATTTGCTTTCTATTTTATATTATAAAAATTTATTTCCAAATTGAATAAGAAGTCTGAGTACTAATAGTATTTTTTAATATCATTAAGTAACTATCCAAAATAGTTAAAAAAATGTGCACACCTGAAATACATAAATATGAGAATAAGCAAATACTGTAAACATCAATTTCAGAAATGCAGGTTTTATAATGATAGTACAGAACAATTCTAGCTCCACCAATGAAAACATCATCATCAAAAAAAAAAAAATGGATAACTGTTATGTACCGGTTGTATGTAGATGAGACTGTTTCAGGTTGCACAGCAGGGCAAAAATATTGTCTCTATGTCTACGTCCTCAGGTGAAAAAGTCTGGGAATCAGGTTGTGTTTCTACTGTCAGATAAAGAAACTGACCAGTATTACTACAGGCGGAATATGGAATTGACAAGGGGAAAGGCCAGTCTGAAATTATTACCTCACAAACCCCGAAATATTGAGCTCAAAAAGGGGAATACTGGTTATGGATTTTACCTGAGAATGGAGCAAAATGGCAAAGGTAAGAATTAGCCCACATGGTAGTATGCAATATGGACTTTACTTCTTTAAAAGATGTATAGTATATTCCCACACCCAAGAACTATGTTCCAATTAATAGGAGAAATAGCATTTAAGGAACCCCATAATTTCCTTCCAAGTTTAGTCAGTCATCTCCTTTGTAGTTTTGCATAATGGTTGTTAAAGGGAAAATATCTCAATTCCAGTTTTATAGACCTGGTCTGGCTTCTGCTTTGTGATGTATATTGTTCTAATTAGAATGTCCACAACAGAGGGCATATACCAAGATGAAAGGGTTAGGGTCAAGCTTATTATCTGCCTTAATACTAGAGTTTGAAAACTAGTACAAATTAAACATTGGCTATGGGACTGTGCTTTGCTAGGATATTAGGCTTTTCTGATTTGATTTGATTTTTATTTTTTTGGGCAGGCCACTTGATTAAGGATATTGATTCAGACAGCCCTGCAGCTAAAGCAGGTCTCAGGGACAATGATGTCTTGGTCGCTGTAAATGGAGAGCCAATTGAAGCACTGGACCATGAAGCTGTGGTAGAGAAAATCAGACAATCTGGTGAAAACACAACACTACTAGTGGTGGATAAAGAGACTGACACCATGTATAAAATGGTAATGTTCACAGCTTGACTGCAAGAATGAGTTAATTTGGAAATTATGTAATGAGCTGTGAAATGGAGGGGAGGGGTAAAGAGCTGTAGCTGTTGCAAGGGTGTCCTGATGCAAAGGTTTATGCATACCTAACATTCTGAGAATAACAGCTTTAAATCATTATATGTTCTTCTAGCCTTCCTGGTTACAAGAGAACTTTGTGTTTGCAGCACCTGAGCATTAGAAACCAAAAGATAGTTCTAGTAGCTTGACAGGACTGGGTTTATTTGCGTTGCTTTCTCCTGCCATGACAAAGGAGTGTACTACTCAGTCATACTTTTCCAGAAGTTGAATTCTGCTTCTCTTAATAAAAATATTCCCACCCTGGAATATTTCCAGCTCAATTTTCAGGATTTTTTACGACAGCAGTCATAGCTACCAGACTACTTCTGCAAAGTCACAAGCCAGGATTCTGAAATATGGTTACTAATAAAAATATGCACAATGCAGCTAGATAATTTCAAAAAATTGAAATTTCACTGCAGCAATTTTTGACATTGTAATCCTGCTTTTTTAAGGATGAGGAAAGGACAGCACAGCAGCCTTCAGGCTGTCCAGTTGTTAAAATAACATTTGCTTTCCTGGGCTGCCCAATATGTTGTTATGGCAAGATTATAGGCTAAGTAACCTCTATGGGAAATCAAGCATTATGTTTGACTCTTTTTATTAAAAACAAAAAACAAAAATCTAGAAGAGCATGCATTAGATCTATTGCATATGTAGCAAATCCCAAGTTCTTGCAAGCATCACAGTAATAGTGTTGTTAAGGAAACAATTTCAATATTTAAATGGCATGGTAGCTATCTGCCTTGTTATCTGGATACCGATAGCAATGTTTGCGATGTCAACGCTGTTAACATCGGATGTTCTTGCTGTGACAATATACGAAGATGCAGATATTTTCTATTTAACCTGTGTATTACTTTTAGAGTTAGAATTAGATGGTGCTGGAGGGGAGGGGGAAGAATGTGCAGGAGGATTAGTTAGCCATAACAATATCTCAGTAGAGTATTCTTCCAGGTTGTATGTAATAAGAGGAGATAAGAAATGGCGGGTTATGCAACTGGAGGGAAAGTTCAAACTTCAAACTAATTGGAGAATGTGATTAATGACTGTTAAATGAAGGAGTGAATTATGCTTAGATACTATGTGTTAGGGGAGGAGAATTCAGATTTTGGCTTCGTCTATGTATGTGCCGAAGCTATATCTTTCTCATTAAAGATTCTTTAAGGCAGTGTTTCTCAACCTTGACAATTTTAAGGCATGTGGACTTCAACTCCCAGAATTCCACAGCCAGCAATGCTGGCTGTGGAATTCTGGGAATTGAAGTCCACATGCCTTAAAATTGTCAAGGTTGAGAAACACTGCTTTAAGGTAAACAATGCCTCAAAGTTCTTTGAAGAGTTTCTTCCTTTGGAACCATTACATGCACATTATTCTTTGGATTCTAAAATTAATGGCAACTGAACAAATCAGTTCTTTTATATTATTTGGCTACTAAGAGAAGTCATTTTGAAGTGACCTTGATTCTCCCTCTATTTAATTTTCTTGGAAACAATATGGATGTAATTTGCTATTGTCTTCTTTCAGGTATGTTCTTTTAACTTTCCATTGATTTCCAGGTGATCTTTCATCCAAGTAATAATCTGGTCTCACCATGCTTAACTACTCAGCCCTGGCTAATTAAGCATTATTTCTTGCTGTAATGGAGGGAATTAAAAAAAAAGAACTGAAAGAGCTGAAGACATACAGGATATGACATTCATAAGGATTATACTATTAAATCGCTATCTACCAGATCTTTTTCCTAGTTAATCTGATTTCCAGTCTCCATGAGTTTGAAGAGAAAGAGTTTAGCACAAATGCCACTTTGCTGTATGAGATTATATTGTTATCTTGATTTAAAACTTTTAAACTTTTCTATACAATTCATATTTAAAATATAATTCTGCTTCTAAACCTTATTTCGACTCTGAATGTCATAATTACCTTTATGAGGACTTCTTCTAAACAAATCATGTTATGTTAGAACCATGCAACATGTACAGCTTTAATACAATATAGAAGCCTATATTTAATAAAGGATTTGATGTAAAACAGAAAAATCAGATAAGCTAGCAACAAAAGGAATTGCATAAACTACCCTCAATTGTGTAATTCTACTTCGGCCATAAGGTCATCTTTCAATTTGCTATTGAAACAAATGACAGCTGATAGAGTTTATTTATGATACTCTCCTCCTCTTGAAACTATTGATCCCTTTCAAGACAATTGCCTTAATTTTTTATATTACAGGTAGACCTCGACTTATGAACCACAATTGAGCCTAGCATTTCTGTTGTTAAGTGAGACATTTGTTAAGTGAATTTTGCCCCATTTTACGACCTTTCTTGCCACAGTCTTTAAGTGAATTACTGCAGTTGTTATGTTAGTAACACAGTTGTTAAGTGACTCTGGCTTTCCCATTGACTTTGCTTGTCAAAAGTTGCAAAAGGTGATCACATGACCTTAGGATACAGCAACAGTCATAAGTATGAACCAGTTGCCAAACATCTGTATTTTGATCACATGAGCATGGGGATGCTACAAAGGTCACAAGTGTGAAAAATGGTCATAAGTCACTTTTTTCAGTGCCATTGTAACTTTGAACTGTCAATGAATAGTTGTAAGTCAACTGTTGGTTGGTTGTATAGTCAGCCAGATATTTAGGCTGAATTTAGCATTTTTGTCTACCTACTGAGTCCTTCCCAAGGACCTGGAGTAGGCAGATATTATTGTTTGATGATGTTAAAGGTGTCATCACAGGGTGTAAGCTGTTCTAAGTAAAGATCCCTATATTCAAGATGGAATATAAGTACCTAAGCCAGGCATGTCAAACTGCCAGCCCGTGGGCCAGATGCGTCACGACAAAACTGTACCCACCCAATTGCCGGCAATGGGGAAAAAGTCGTGATACATCGTGCGACATCACATGACGTCACAAGTTTGACAGGCCTGACCTAAGCAATAGGGTCTTAAAGTGACAAAACTATCATATCAATCAAGAGTTTCAGAACTATTTTTGCTTTATTTTCTCTAATTTTTGCTATCTTGACAGGATGCAGAAGCAAAAGAGTAACTGAAGGTGTGATCTACTGAATAGGCAGGAGAAATTGTCTCTGCTTATAATTAGGCTATCAGATCTGACCTGCAAAAGTCTAAGGCTACTCCTCAGGTTTCCAGCATCTCTTTCCTGACATCTGAATTTCTTTTAGTCCTATTCAGATTTTAATTTAATTCCTTTTTAGATGTATATTCCACCTTTCCTTTTAGGAGTTAATGGCAGCATACATAGTACTCCATTTATTTTTCACAACAACCCTGTGAAGCTTGAATAGTGTGAGTGGCTGCCTCATTACAATCCTGAACCTCTTTTCTTAGCACTTTACCTCCCAAACTGCATTTCCTCCAGGAAAGGGGTCAGAGGTTACACAGTGGTAGTAAAATGGGGCAAAATAAGCAATGAGTAATTTTGAGGCCAGAAGTGGACAAGACAGATAATTTATTTTTAAGCTTTATAATTTAAAGTTTAAAAAATGTTTTCTTTTGAAATATACCCCATAAAACATTTGGGCATGTGCAATTCTCTTTCCTGTTTAGCTTCTCTCCAACAACGGGGAAGTGCTTCAACTTGTCTCCACCTCCCCGACCCACACAAAATCCCTCAGCTGATTGTCAAAAAATTGCCAGCAGGAGTCACAATGGAGTCATTGCTCAACTCCCAAGAGTCTGTCACCAAACCATTCTTTCTTACAACTTAGCTGCCTCCAGCAATTTAAACTTCCTTCCTTCTGGATTGTGAAAAACTGTATGGGAAAGAATTGGGGGAGAGGAGATAACCATGGCATCTGCGTCTCCGCTCCTGTTCCACAACGTGAAGAATTGTGTAACATCAAGCTCCAGCTTGTATTCATTATGTTTCATTTCATGTTTTTTTTTTGTTGGTTAAGGCTAAAATATCTCCTTGTCTCTACTGCCATACAATACTGGAGCCACATCTGAGCGTTGCAAAGGTACCCATGCATGCTGAGGAAGAAAATCACAAGCCCAGGCTCTGTAAACTCATAAAAGGTCTCACCGGATTCGGCTTTCGATTGAATGCCATTAACAATATACCTGGAGTGTTCATCAAAGAGGTATTACTCTAGAATCTTTTCACTGGCAAGCAAAACAAGTCTCCATTGATCAGGCAAAAAAAGTACAGCCTTCTATCCTGTAGTGTGAATGTACTCAGCAGAATATATATAGAAGTGTATCATTGTTCTGTGTCTTACCAAGATACAATAGTTACTGAATAAAAGAAATTTGAAACGGGAAGAGTAAAGTATCTTCCAGAACCAAACTAATTTATTGATGCTCATTCTGGAACCATACTTTTAGGATTTAATATTAGAGCAACATAATATACCTCTATTCTCATATTTTAATTCCATCTAAGTGTTTTTCATTCCTTCTCTGCTAAATTCTTTTGGCAAAAGCAATCTTAAAATGTGATTTAATCAATGTTGACTGAATTAGCACTTTTATGCACTTTAAAGAAATTATCAACTTGTAAATAAACATAGAATCCGACTAAGAATTTGTTTTAAAAAGTGTTAGTCTACAGTAAATGGTAAATATATTTGCAGTTTTTCTTCTAAAGTCCAAGTAATAAAAATTTCCACTTATGTTATTTCCCACATTGATAGGAGTGTACAAATAGACATAGTCAGTGTAGAAAATTCACTGTCTCAATTGTTTGCGGGAAAAGAAACAGTAGCAGGAATTGATATAAATTCTGCTTATGTTCAGTGTAGTTTAAGAGGTAACTTTGTGTTTTCAATTTTCACTCAAGTAAATTGTCTTCATAATCTCTTGGCATATATTATGGTGAATGATGGGGAAAATAATATAGAGCCATTACTTACAAACTGAGACAATGAATGTTTGCCTGTTCATGGAAACTGGAGTTTTGTTTTGGGGACACTTTGCTACTTTAAAAGCAGTCATTTTAAAAAAATATGTTGATTTGTATGTACATATAATGATAACAAACTTATCTTATGTCTATGGAGATTCTCAGTCATCCAGGTCATAGTGGTTCCAAAGATGCTTTTTTCATGAGGCAACTGGACTTCTTTGTTTTTCTTTAAAGAACGTTTCGCTTCTCATCCAAGAAGTGAAACATCTTCAAAGAAAAACAAGGAAGTCCAGTTGCATCGTGAAAAAGCATCTTTGGGAAAAACTTATCTTGCCTTTACTATTTCACTAAAGAGCAGAAAATATAAAATATGTAGTTGCAGAGTCAGGTAACGGTTAAGCCCTATTTACCTGGAGCAAGCAATAAAGTTTGTGTATAGTTCATTTTTTTTTAGAAATTGCAACTCCCTCTCCATAATGGTGCTTTTTTCATGGGGAAAGGACATTTTTGGATAAAATAGTTATCTTAAGTGTTTGCAGCCATTTGAGATCTTAATTCAAATGTGAGAGTTAAGTACTAACTTGTAGCACTCACCCCCAAAGGAGCCAATAATGTTCGGGTTCTTCTGTCCCTCTTCTCAGTTGACCAGCCCACCTGGCCCAAACATAGCAACACACCTTGTGTGAGGCCTTAATTAAGATAATAGTCCTGCCCAGTCAGAGATGATAAATCCAGAAACTGTGGCTGGATCAAGAATGCAGCCGCTTCTGAGTTTCGCTCATGACTAGGATTGTCATCTCTCTTATGGCAGCAGAAATGTAGTCCACAGCCCAGAATGCCCAGTGACTCAAAATTTATCAAACGGAAGTCAAGGGATTGCAATTGACAACATACCCCTTTTGCACAAAACAAATGGGCTCTAATTGTAACACCACGCCTGTCATCTTACGGGCACACTCTCCATGCACATCCCCCTCCCCAAATAGTCATGCCTTTATCCAAAGAGCAGTATCTGACTGCAACTGGCACTCACACCCTTGAATAAAAAAAAGTAAATATGTATTTGTATGTACACCATCTACCATGGACTGCCTGCTGCTCTCAATCAAGCAGAACAGCAGTTACTAGTATAATCATTTCAGATAATCTAATTGCAGGTAAAAAAGGATGGGCCTGCCGATATAGCAGGGCTGCAAGATGATGACATCGTGATAGAAGTGAATGGTACCAATGTAGAGAATGAAGAGTATGAAGACGTGGTAGCAAGAATCCAAGAGAGTGGTAACAGTCTGACACTATCGGTGTGTGACAAAAAGGCTTATCAGCACTTCTGCTCCCAAAAGAAGGCTGTTACAGCCTCCATGGCTGACCCATTAAGTGACAGCCATGATGAGCCTCCTGCCTATGCAGAGATACAAGCAACAGAGCCAGAAAATGCGCTGCCAGGACCACGAAAAAGGGTGAGTTTCCTTGTATTAACTTGAGAAAAATCTCACAAGAATCTGTGGCATCTGATTATCAAACCAGTATGATACATTGCAAATAATTGAATGATCTAAGCCTGTGGTGGCGAACCTATAGCATGCGTGCCACAGGTGGCACAGAACCCTCTCTGTGGGCACGCGTGCCATCGCCCTAGTCCTAGGCCTTCAGTCCCGTCCATGAGCAACCTGCATCAAAATCTCCCCAGGCAAGCTGGGTTTTATAAAACCTTTTCGCTTTAGGCCTCCACCACTGTGTGCAACAAAAGTTCAATCAATCAATTTCAACTTCTCACGGGGAAAAAAAAAAGATCTCACAAAGTTGGAATTCATTGATTGAACTTTATTTTTAGTCCCACACAGCGGCGGAGGAAGTGACTCATCGGAGCTGGAAAGAAGGTGCCACGTGGGGATGGGGGCAGGGCCTGTGCATGGGGAGGCGCTCTGTGCGAGGAGCGGGGCAGGGCCTGTGCATGGGGAGAAGCAATGCGGCGGTGCTAGCATGGTGGTAGACCAGTTGCTTCCCTCCCCCTGCCAGACAGATCATGAAATTGGAATTGATTGACCTTTTTTTTTCTCCAAAAAAACTTCCTTTGTTTCCTTGCACATGGCAGGGGCAGATCGCAAAGGAGAAGCGGCATGGGGCTGGGAGTCAGGTAAGGAAAGAAAGGCAGTTTCTGGGGGGAGCGAGGATTTCTTTTCTTACCTGCCCCACTTGTTCCGTGGCCGCTTTCCGCTCAGACGCGTTGCTCTTGCCAATGGCCCGACCGCCCACTTCAGCACCCTCCCTCCCCGAGCTTCTGGCGCTCCACCTGATGCTTTGATGGCTCTGTAGGCAGAGCTGCAAAGTGAGAAGAGAACTTTGCAGCTCTGCCTACAGAGCCACCAAAGCAGCAGGTGCCTACAGAGCCACCAAAGCTGTAGCTCAGACATGTAAAACACAAAGCCCGCAGGCCGGGGCCGGGCTGGGGAGGGCCCAAATTTGGCCCCCTGGAGCTGTCCCATAAATGGCAAGGGACCGGCCCCCACTGCACCAGCCCTGGCCCACCCCAACCCAGCTGGGTGCCCGCCTGGCACACGGACAGAAAACAGCGAGCGTTCGGGAGCTGGTGGTTTGCAGCAATAGCTGCAGCTCATTTGCCTCACCCCGCCCTGCCCCACTCCTTTCAGCCTCGCCCGTCACACCTGGCCATTCCCCGCTTTGCCGGGCCTCTCCTCATCCGGCTCTGCTTTGCTGCACCACACCTTTCCTTGCTTGGGCCTTGGCGTTCTGTAAGCCTAGCGCCCCAGGGCATGCCTGGCCTGTGGGATGAAAGGCGCAGAGATGGGAGCATGCAGTGGCACAAGCCGAGCATTGGCCAGCTCCCATTCGCCCTCTCCGCCATGTTGTAGGGCCGGAGAGGGGAATGCAGCAGTCATACAGGGCCACAGCCTGGAACTGCTGGCGGCCGGCAATGTGTGGCGGCTGGAGAGAAAGGGTGAGAAGGAGAAGAAAGCAGGGTTTATCTGTGTGTTTATGAAAGGGGGGGGAAGAGGAGGAGGAGGAAGCCGAGGTGTTACAAAAAAGGGGAGCTTCCCCCTTTCCTCCCCCCTTTTTTTAACCTCCTCCCACTCCATCTCACACACACACACACACACATGCTGCATCAGGGAGGTGGTGTGCAGGCAGGCGAGACAGCAAACTCGCAGATTGGTTTTGTGGTCTATTCTTGCCATCTCCCCTCCCTAAAATCATAGAACTCTTTGGATTGAATGGGAAGTTAAGAGGAGTTGGCGTGAGTTGAAATTAAAAGGCTGAGTCAACTCCCCCCCCAATTATTTTGTAAGAGACTGGAAAGTGTTTCTTGCTTCTACTTCCTCTCATCTGCTCTTTTATAATTTAATCCAGTCTTACCCAAACTAATGTCTTTTGGATGTCATGGATCACAGTTCCCATCATCCTGTGGCTATGCTGGCTAGAAATGCAATGCCTTATTTTCTCTGCAGTATGCACCTAGGAGGCAGTAGTCTGTGGGATTTAGATGTATTTAAACATTTGTTTCTTCTGCCTAATTTATTAAATCAATATCTAATTCGAAATTAAATGTTTCTGAGAAATCCAGGTTGCTTTAAAAAAAAACTCTCAAAGACAGCTATTGTAAAGCATCACCAGCACTGCTTAAAACAATATTAATTGTGTATTTTAAGAAAAAATATATTAGTAGTAATTTACTTAATGCTGTTTAACCATAAAATGTGGTGCTGCTCTACATATGCCTGGCTGAACAGTGTTTGGAGTTGCCTCTAAACGGATGAGGGATGCACTGTTCATATTTTCCTTAGAAGAAAGTTCTATAATTGGGGTGCTGTCTCTGAGAAGGCTCTGCTCATGGCCACTGTTCTATAAACCAAACCTGGGGAACCATCTGGTCTAAATGGATGGTAAACAGATGATTAGGAGGCTGGAGGCTAAAACATATGACAAATGTGGGAATTGGGTGTGTCTAGCTTAGTGAAAAGGACTACGGGTGGTAACATGACAGCAATGTTCTAATATTTGTTGGCTGCCACAGAGGAGTCAACCTATTTTCCAAAGCATCAGAAGGCAATAATAGATGGAAACCAGAATAGAAGAAAAGACTTGTGAAAACAACTAACCATGAAAAGTTGTGGATGCTCCATCACTGGAGGCTTTTGAGTAGAGATTGGATATTCCATTGTCTGGAATGATATAGGTCCCCTGCTTGAGCAGAGGCTTGGACTAAAGACTTCAAAGGTCTCTTCCAACTCTCTTACTTTTTGAGAGAAGCACTGCCAATCTCTCCCCCTCCCCTCGTCCCTTCCTGGGCACAGAGGGAGGGGGGAGGGAAGGAAGGAGGGGAGGGAAACAGGAAGAAAGGGAAGGAAAGGAAAATGGGAATGGGAGGGAGGGAGGGAGGGAAGGAATAAAAGGGAGAGAGGGTCTGAGGGAAGTCCTGTCTTAGCACTTGGCCACCAGCAGCCCTGTTGCCCTTTCGCTATCCCCTGGTGGTCTCCCATCCTATTGCTGAGAATGCTTTGGCCTCCCTGACCCATGCACTTTGCCCTCCTGCACCCACCATGAGCAACCTGGCCAAGGAGATTGAGCACAGAAGTAGTAGCCTTGAGGAGGTAAACACAGCCGGGCACCCCCTCGGGGAAGTGCAGCTAGGCTAGGCAGGGCTGTGGGGTCCTGGTACCATGGGAGCTCAAGAGCCAGGCTGGGCCCTTGACCTCCGCTGCCCAGGGCTCCAGGCAGTCTGTGCTACCATCCAGGGGTCCCCTGCATAGCCTGAGGCTCAGTGAGGCTCCACCAGTGGACCCTGCCCTGGCGCTCACCCCGGTCCCACCCCACCTCCGCTGGAGACCCTCAGATCTGCCCCAGTCCTGCCCAGGCTTGCACAAGTGCCCGACGCGATGTTGAGCTGGCCATGCCCACCCAGTAGGCCACACCCACCCAGTATAGGCCACACCCACCCAGTGGGCCACACCCATCCAGCACCCGACAATAAATAAGTGGGGTTTGGGTTGCAGTTTGGGCACTCGGTCTCTAAAAGGTTCGCCATCACTGATCTAAGCTAAAGAATTAGCTTAGAGAGCTAGACTGAGCCTTCGCTCAAGCCGTGCTTAAATCACAGGACTAAACATTTGTAATTAACCAGTTAGGTGATTTGGTTTTTAAAAGATTTTTATTGTAAAATTTTGAGCATTCATAATCAGACCATCAATTCAGACTTCTGACAATTCATCTCACAGCTCAATCTATAAATCTATAGTTTATGATATATTGTAACTGGTCCCCCTTAATGGTGCTATAAATGTATTTTCCATCTTTTAACACAGTTATTGCTTTCTTTCCCTAGGCCAGCTCATCCTCCTCTGAAGAAGATACTGACCTGTGATGATAGCAGAGTCCATTTTTTTCCATATTGTACCTGAAAGGGGCTGCTATTCTGAAGCAAATATGCCAATACTGTATTATTTCTCAAAAAAACCTTGACAGTAATCCTATAATATTTATTTGAAACCAAGTCACACTGAGAATTACTTCCAAATGAATGTACTGAAAATAATATAGCTAAGCTGTTCTCAAGAGTACAGTCTACCATACCACACTGGAGGCACCACACTGGAGGCAAAAACATCTCGGGATTAATTTCAGCCAAAGACAGTTTTAGAGAACAGTACTAAGTCAGTACATGATACCGAGTTCTTGTCCTTCATTCCTCAGTGTGCGGGTGTTTAAAATGGGGGCAGAGATGCAATTTGGATATAAAAATAGATGGTCTGAACCAAGTTTTTTTCCCCATGTTAATTTGAACATGAGTAAAATCTCTGCAATTGGAGGTTTTTTTTTTCAGAAATTAGTCATGCGAAGTGAAATCACAATGAGAATTCAATTGTATGAATTGAATTGAATACTATATCAATTAAAACTAAAATATATTGCATTTATTCTGTGATATTTTTTGTCAACTGCATCCAATTTTAATTAAGTGCAGAATTAATCTTGTAGCCGAGCATTAGGTTCTTCAAAGAAACTAAAGACTGGCTACTCATTAGGATGTCTAGTTCTGATAGATGCTAAGTTTAAAAATAGTTTCATGTTATCTCCTTTATGTTTAAAATGTTGTGAGTGAAAAAAGGAAGAAAAAGGAGTATTAGGTATGTTCTCTACTTTGAGTTATACAAATAATAAAGATGGTAAATAAATAACTCAACAGTCAGTTTGGGTTCCACATATAGCTTCTGATTTACCAGCTAACATGTCAGAGCACATTATTCCAATTGCACCCACGAGCAGACTACTCCAACTTATTTAATGCAAGAGGTGCCAATCTTGCCCCCCAGTATCACAAGACTGGGGCACTGAATTTTAGTAGCAAATGATCAAACTTCAGCAGCAAAATTTCCCTTCTCATCCCCAGCTCCTTCCACCTCAAATTCAAGGTAAAAATTAGAATTAGAAATTCTTTCCTTCCAGTGATGTTGCCCAATTATGCATTTCCTGCTGTAGTTTTTTGTTTTTTTTAAAGCTGGGAAGTTAAATTGTTGCAGCCAACCCTTTCAATATTGCCCAATGCTAATTCAATTGATCAAACCACAGGAATTCTGAACAGTCCTATAAAAGAAGCCAAGAACCAACCAAAGCTGTATAGGTTTTTGTTGTGAATTTGCAAGCAAACACTTGAGTGTAACATTCACAGTTGCCTTTTTTGTGAAAGAATAATGAAGACAAGAGACTCTTTAGTAGTAATTTTTAAAAAAAAAAAATATCAAGATTTTTCCTATGTTAAGATAACCCAAATATGTAGTCTTGGTTGATGTTTCAGTGTCATTCTTTCAGCACACCCCATTCCTTTTTCTCATCTGCATAGAGGATAGAAAATGCTGCTGCGTTCCCAATTCCACAAAGTTTTCTTGATCTTTCTAATGCCAACAATATAAGATAGGTGTTTCTTAAAACTTTTTTTCTTCACGACCCTTTCCCATTTTGAAAAAATTATGGGGACCCGAAAATCACGTTTGTGTATGTTTTTTTATTTATTTATTGTATATTGGTGTCTTCCAGTCAATTGACTCCTGACAACTGCCAGGACAAGTCCCTTAAATTTACTTGGTGAGATTTTGGAAGTGGTTTGCCACTGCTTGCTTTCTAAGGTGAGACAGCATGACTGGCCCAAAGTCACCCCACTGGCTTTCATACTTAAGGCAGGACTAGAACTCAATAGTCTCCCAATTTCTGGCCTGGTGCCTTAAGCACTACAACAAAACTGGCTGTCAATATTTACCAAATTAAAATTTTGACAATTTGCTGCTACTGCTGCTTCTACCATTGTTTGATGGAATTTTAATATTGTATTATTTTCCAACATAGACTGGCAAATAAGTTTGAATTTGTGGACCTGAGAGGAACTGGGGGATACCATGCATCCTTAGGAACACAATTTAAAAAACACTGATCTAGATATTGAAGCCAGTACCAAGTCCTGGCAATATTTCCTTACCAACCAAGCAAAAGATAGTACTGATAGTATGAAGTAAGACTGATAGATTCTCTTCAGTGCCCCATATATCAAATTATTATCAAGATATTTAACTCCCCTGCATTCTTCATTTTACATATTGTACTTTCATGTTTGCTCAGGGTTTTGCTTGAAAAAAATTAAAAGAAATTTCAACTGCTAATTACTTCACTTGCTGTAAACACCTGTCTGATATCCATAAATAAAGTGGATTTCTTAAAATACAGTACTGACTTAAAAGAACAGGTTCTATCAACAGTATTGAACTTACTTGAGATTTACTTGGGTTATATAGTTCTTGGTTTCTAAGTAGCATGCCAAGAGCCTATCCAAACGTGGTGTTACGTTTTCCACTGTATGACATTAAAAGAGTTACAACTGGGAAATAACATTTGGAGGAATTCTGAGAGCCACATTAACAGTTTTGGAGATAACCACTTTTAATGCTTGGACCTCATGTTGTGATGCTGATTTAATGGGATGAAAGGGGGAAAGTGATTAGCAGTACTAGACAAAGCCTGTATTTTTTAATTCCAGGAGGTAAGGGGTTTTTTTTCCACTTCAGTCAGAAATTAATAATTCATCAAACTTTGTTCCACTTTAAAGAAGAAACTTTACAAATCTATAAACCGTAAGAAAAGTATTGGGAATTATTACAAATATTGTTTTATTTAGACTTTTAGAATCATTATCTTCAAGGTAAAGACAATGAAGCAAACATGTTGCCAACTCCATTGAATAAAAACTGCAGAATGGCTTCTTCATTTCCAGCCTTTTGAGAGGTCTCTAGTATTCCCTTTTATTTTTTATTTTTCTCATTTTTATGGAGCTGGAGGCTGTCCTTGTGAGACTGCTTGTCCCTTCTTGCCTATAGTGAAGCATCTGATTTGAACTAAAGAGATGAGTGTCCATCATTGAAGAGCCATCTTAAAATGGCGATATACCAAATCCATAATTGTGAATAACTGCAGGCTGTAGAATTAAAATAAATTCAGAGTGTCATATGTTTCTCAGGAGCCTGCTTATGTGCCAGATAGAGAAACAGGATGCTGGAGAGAGCACTGACAAGAAATATAACATCAAACCATCGGTGGTAAAAGTTAAACTGTAATTCTCCTAGAACCTCAGTAATGATAGTACGATACTCTAGAGGCATACTCATTCGAATCAGAAGCACAGAAGACACAAAATACATTCCCTGCAGAGAAAATAACAGAAACATTAGACAATTTTACTGCTGCTGACATAGCTGAGAGAGCACAAGTTGCTACTCAAATGGATTAAAATACTCACCATAATCTGTGCCAGCAACAGAACAATAACATTAGAAGACTTGCTACTTGAGATAGCATAGAAAAACTAAGAAAGATAAGCACAGAAAGTCAGCTGACAGGCTGAAATAATGATAACATGGCAAACATGATTTAATAAATGTTTTAGAGCTAAATTAAAAAAAAGTCACATTAATAATAATAAAACATCTTCATGCTTAATGTAATCATCATCATTAGAACTGCTTCTTAAAAACAATGTAACGTGTGTTAAAACTTTTATTTTTCCATTATGCATATTTTAGCATACTTCACATTCCACTCCACATTCACCCAGAATTATCTAAATCAGTGATGGCAAACCTTTTAGAGACCGAGTGCCCAAACTGCAACCCAAAACCCACTTATGCATCATGGGGTGACAGGTGGGCGTGGCCAATTGGGTGGGCGTGGCTGCAGTGGTAACAGCAGGCTGGGTGGAACTAAAAAGTTCCATCAATCAATTCCAACTTTGCAAGATCTTTTTTTTTCCTGCGAGAAGTTGAAATTGACTGATTGGTTGAACCTTTTTTTTTTTTGCACACGGCGGCGGAGGCCTAAAGCGAAAAGGTTTTATAAAACCCAGCTGAAGGCCTAGGACTGGGGCGACAGCATGCGTGCCCACAGAGAGGGCTCTGAGTGCCACCTCTGGCACCCATGACATAGGTTCGCCACCACTAATCTAAATAATAATAACAATAATTTGTTCTACATGCAAGCAGTCCTTATGATCTTCAGACATGCATTTAAGTGAACAAGTAGGTTAGCCCAAGGAACTGCAGAATTTAGATGAAAAATGCTGTTATGTTTATAGAAATAGCAATCTGTATTTTTGCAAATCCAACACAAATGGCATAGCCCAGGGATAAATGGGACTGTTTAAGTAATAATTATCACATTTTAGCTATAAATAGGGGTACTTGAGCAGTGTGCAACTAAACATATTGCTGACGTGGCAGGATTGGCCAATGATAACTAACCCCTTGAGATGTTTTCTAGTGTGCATAAAAACAACAGCACTTCACTAAGATCATGATTATTATTTGCAATATGATACAACAAAACTATTATATATAAAAAGCACCTTTATTTCAGCCCTATACTGTTAAAACATATCTAAATGAAAAATGGTAACTTAATGTCAAGCAATTTTCTTTTACTTATTAAAATCAATACCAATGTTTTATTGTGACTTTTTAAACAATCACATATTGGAAAACTTTGTTCCCCACCTCTGGCTTTAAAAACTATTAAGTGATGCAGAAAACGCATCTGCACTATATATCTGAAGTAATCTCGGTTACTACAGGTCTTAATACTGCACATCTCTATAAGGTGGTAGACCAAATGTTGGGAACTTCTCAGAACAACAATACCAAGACAAACTCAACTTAAAGCTGTTACTTCCTGCAGTGATTCCATATTTTTGAAGTTTACAATTCAGCCATAACACTTTTACAGACTGATATATTAATATGCTCTCTTCTTTACTTCAACACAGATCATATAATAAGATTGCACTTGGGCTTACCTTTGTGAGTGTTATTAATAAGCCCCTGATAGAGG